GGCCCCCCCCCCCTCCCAGCCCGTGCCCCCTCCTCGGCCGGCCGGTGCCGGATCGCAGCCTCAACAAGAGGCGGAGGCCAGAGGCGCCGCCGCGGTCCCCACCTCTCAGAGGTGGGCTTTTCGGAGTTCCCGTCCCGGGAGGGAGCGCAGAGAAAGTTCTCTGCCTTTCCCGGCGCGCGCGCACCCCTACGCCGTCTCCGTCCTCCCCTCTCTCTTCCCTCCCCTTGTTCCTTTCCCGTCTCCGTTTCCTCCTCCTCTCCCGGTCTCTGTGCCGCTCTGTCATTCTCCGCCCGCCACCCCTCTCACCCCTGCGGTGGCCCTCTGCAGTTTCCATAGTGAGGTCTCCCTTCCCTTCCTCCTGCTCTCCCTGTGCCCATTCCTCGCCGCCAGCCCTCTGAGGGTTCCTTAGGAGTGAAAGTGGCCCTGGCTGGAGCGCCTCCCCGCTCCACTAGGTCATTCCGCACGAGACGTGGGCACCTGAGATCCGCTCCCGATTTCACCCCCCAAATGTTACAGATGAAGTTCTCAATCCCGCCGTTCCGGAAAGTTTCGGGAAAAAATACTGAAGCCGTGTTTTCCCTCCATCTCTGCACTTATCCTGACAGGATCCCGAGCGGTTTGTAGGTCCCCGAACCCCCCACCATCACCACCATCCCCCCGCAGAAAAAAGAAAAGGTTCCGACTCGCCCGGGGCAGACGCGGGGGCGGGAGTTGGGCGCCCGGGACTCCCGAGACGCGCAGTGGGGAGCGGGGCGGCGGCGGTCCCGGGGGAAGCGCCCGGCGGGGACGCAGCTCTCAGCCCCCACTTCCGCTTGCGTCTGGCCCCGGGCGGCTCCAAGCCGACGCCGCAGGCTGCACCTACCTCCGCGCTGGGGTGCACATCTGCGAGTCAGAAATTATGTCAGAGGAAGGGTGTGTGCGCGCGAATTGTTTAACCCTGGGCTGTTCACAAGCACCTTTTCCTTTACCAGCGCTCAGGAAGAGAGGATGTGCTTAGTCTCTAGAGAAAGGAAGCAGCGGTTTCGGTAAGACATGACTAAGGAGCACAGTTGCTCATTTGTCCTAGGACCGGGGTTCTCCGTTGCCTGGTGGGTTCGAATTGGGGATGGGCAACACCAAAGATGGCCAGCGCCAGGGACCCAAGAGCCCTGGTGCTAGAACTGCCAACTCTGCACATCACGGTAGGGACGGTCCTGGCAGAGGCAGAAATGAATTGCCAACACCGGAATTGTCCTAAAGAAGTTGCCGACCCAGGTGGATTAGTAGTGCGATTGCCTGGTGACCCGGAACCCACGAAGGGTCCGCACGAGAGGCGACGCTAGTAAAATAGCAACACCTGTCACGTGCGCAGTTCGGGGTCGTCGAGGACGGCCCTGTCGTCGTGACCTTCCAGGTTACTTAAGTGACGTCTCTGATCCTCGGGCTTTCATTATGTAACCGCATTCCTCACCGCCAGGGTCTGTCAGGTAGGTGCTGGCGAATATAGCTTGGGTCCGAAAAGTACCAAGAAATCAATCCACTAGCAGATTCCTATGGACAATCGTCTTGCCATAGTATTTCCACGTAAAATTACTAAACTAGCTGACACTTTTCCTCTCTAATTCAAGTCCTCCCGATAAAGAGACGCAAACTATATAGAGAAGATTGTGTGTAGGGACAGACACCCCCCTTGGGTAGTCTCTCTCCTTCACTTCCTTTTGATGGCTAGTACTCTGTTTTCAGGACCAACTAACTTATTTACAGTACTTGGAAATGGCTCCTGGTACAACCCCATCAATTGGCAAGAACTGATAGGGAAGGAAGCCACCAGGTGCTTCCGTGCCCTGCTGGGGTGACTAAAAGCCTGTTTCTGAATATCTCATCCACCTTGAGTCTACTCAGCCTTTCTTCGCCTATTAGCTCTTCTCCATCTACCTCTGGTAACAAGTCTTAAAGGCCCTTAGGGAACTATGTTTTAAATCATGAGAAATAAAAAGGATGATTGAGCCAATTCAGATCAAATTCTTTTGTTTCAGTCTTCTGTTTGGTACTTGCCATGTACCAGACCATGTGCTAATTTAGGGCGTTAATTTAATTCTCACAACAGCACTATGAGACCATCACTGTCAGTAATTGCATTTTCCGATGACAACGATAACAGATCTAAAAAGGTAAAATAACTTGACCAGGGTCTCCAACTAGTAGGTGAGAGACGGGATGCAAATTGTCAGCAGTTTAGCCCAGATTCATATGTAAGAATGAGTCATCCAGAGTGTTGCTAGAATTTGGAGGGTTTCATTAGGGAAGATGGA